TTATGCTATGTCCTGAGTTGGTACCAAAAGGGAAGTGTGGGCTCTACAAGAGTAGGATAAAGAAATAGTGACCTCCTTAGGTAAAGAAAGAGACCATTTTCTGATTGAAATAATTTAATCTAGAAATGATGGAGAAAAAAAAATTGCCATTATCTTCTTTTCATTATGATTTCCCAGACCAGACGTGCACTTGGATGTGTGAACAAATATTCTCAACTCTAGAATTTAAAATACCTTCAAGCTGAGAATAAGGTGAAGATTTGCTCATCTTCCATCCTAAGAGACATAATTCATCTTTGCTCTGTATGGGCAATGGTGCTCCACTTACAGTCGTGTGATACTACATTGCATATAGTCTCCACATCCCGTCTTGAGATTATAACTACCTTTAGGATTATTTTTTTAAAACTCTTTGGATAAAATGAAGCACTATTGGCACATTTGTATCTTAGGCAAGTTGGTGAGTGAGCCAACAAGAGGAGGCACCCAGCTGGACCTGTTCTTTGTGAACAGAGACTTGTGAGTGATGTGATGGTGTCTTGGTTTTGGTTGGGATAGAGTTAAATTTCTTCCTACTAGCTGGTACAATGCTGTGTTTTGGATTTAGGATGAGAATAATGTTGATAACATATGGATGTTCAGTAGTTACTGGGTAGTGCTTACTTCAGACTTTGGAGTATCTCATGCTCTCTCAAGAAGCAGGTGCACCAGAAGCCAGGAGGAAGCACAGCCAGGACAGCTGACCTGAACTGGTCAAAGGATATTCCATAACATAGAATGTCATGCTGAGTATATCAGTTGGCAGGGAATTGGCCAGGAGGCACTGATCATTCCTTGGGGGGCTGGGCACTGGTCAGTGAGTGCATTGTGCATCTCTTGTCTTTCATGGGTTTTATTCCTCTCTCTCTCTTTTTGTTATCTCCATTTTCATCATCATCATCATCATCATTATTATTATCCTTATTATTATGTTTTACTTCATTTCAATTCTTAAATTGCTTCTATCTCAGCCCACAGGTTTTACCTTTTTCTGATTCTTCTTCCCATCTGACTGGGATGGGTGAGGAAATGAGCGAGTGGCTGCATAATACTTAGTTGCTGGCTGGGGTTAAACCATGACAGAAAGCTGGAGGCCATCTTGGACATATGAAATGATAGAGTTTTTGATATCCAGAGAAGTAAGGAGGAGGGTCAGCAGAACTGCACCTTGGACTTCCAGAGGGCAGACCTTGGCCTGTTTAGGAGACTGATTGACATAGTCCCTTGGGAGTAGTCCTGAAGGGCAAGGGAGTCCAGGAAGGCTGGACATTCTTCAAAGAGGAAATCTTAAAAGGCCAAGGAGTAGGCCATCCCCATGTGCCAAAAGATGAGCCAGTGGGGAAGACCAGCCTGGCTAAACAGTTTTGGCTGGAGCTCAGGCTGAGGTACTTAATGCCTTCTTTGCTTCAGTCTTCAATGGGAAGTCCAGTTATTCTTGTGATATCCAGCCCCCTGAGCTGGAAGACATGGAGAGGAATTAAGCCCTCACAATTCAAGGGGAAGTGGTCATCAACCTGCTACACCACTTAGACACACACAAGTCTGTGGGCCGGGTGGGATCCACCCAAGTGTACTGAGGCAGCTGGCAAAAATGCTCATCAAAGCCACTATCCATCATTTATCAGCAGCTCTGGCTCACTGGCGAGGTCCCAGTTGACTGGAAGTCAGTAAATGTGATGCCCATCTGCAAGAAGGGTCGGAAGGATTCAGGGAACTACAGGACTGTCAGTCTAACCTTGGTGCTGGAGAGTTAGCGAGCAGCTCATCCTGAGCGCCATCACAGAGCAAGTGCAGGACACCGACAGCGCCCCCTCTGACAGTGGTTAGAATTACGCCAGAAGGCGGAAAGTACTGAACTGTTTTTTTCATAGAATCATAGAATCAGTTGGGTTGGAAGGGACCTTCAAGATCATCAGGTCCAACCCTTGATCCACTACCACTGCGGTTACTAGACCATGACACTAAGTGCCACATCCAGTCTCTTTTTAAAAACCTCCAGGGACGGAGAATCCACCACTTCCCTGGGCAGCCCATTCCAATGTCTGACCACTCTCTCTGTAAAGAAATTCTTTCTAATATCTAACCTAAACCTCCCCTGGCACAACTTGAGACCATGCCCTCTTGTCTTGCTGATAGTTGCCTGGGAAAAGAGACCAACCCCCACCTGGCTACAACCTCCTTGCAGGTAGTTGTAGAGAGTGATGAGGTCTCCCCTGAGCCTCCTCTTCTCCAGGCTGAACAGCCCCAGCTCCCTCAGCCTCTCCTCATAGGACTTGTGCTTGAGTCCCTTCACCAGCCTCGTTGCCCTCCTCTGGACCTGCTCCAGCACCTCAATATCCTTCCTGAACTGAGGGGCCCAGAACTGGACACAGCACTTGAGGTGTGGCCTCACCAGCGCTGAGTACAGGGGAAGAATCACTTCCTTGGACCTGCTGGCCACACTGTTCCTGATACAGGCCAGGATACCATTGGCCTTCTTGGCCACCTGGGCACACTGCTGGCTCATGTTCAGCTTCCTGTCAATCCAAACTCCCAGGTCCCTCTCTGTCTGGCTGCTCTCCAGCCACTCTGTGCCCAGCCTGTAGCACTGCTTGGGGTTATTGTGGCCCCTCTCTGTTTGTGAACAGGAAGTCTAGTGGGGCTCGATCCCTGGTAGGCTCATTTACCAGCTGGAGCAGGAAATTATCCTCTATACACTCTAGGAATCTCCTAGACTGCCTCTTCTCTGCTGTGTGGAGTTCCCAGCAGACATCTGGCAGGTTAAAGTCACCCACGAGAACAAGGGCTGGCGATTTTGAGACATCTGTCAGCTGCTTGTAGAATAATTCATCACCCTCATCATCCTGATTGGGTGGTCTGTAACAGACTCCCACCAGGATATCAGCCTTGTTGGCCTTCCCCTGATTCTGATCCACAGGCACTCAACCTTATTGTTACTGACTTCAACTTCTACAGAATCAAGAGACTCTTAACATATAGAGCCACTCCTCCACCTCTCCCACCTCTGCCTGTCCCTTCTGAAGAGCCTGTAGCCACCCATGGTAGCACTCCAGTCATGCGAGTCATCCCACCATATTTCCATGATAGTGACTACATCACAGCTTTCCTGATGCACGATGGCTTCCAGCTCCTCTTATTTGTTACCCATGCTGTGTGCATTGGTGTACATGCACTTCAGCTGGGCTCCTGATTTGGCTCTTAACTTGGGCTGTCCACCCTTGGGCTCCTTTCTGGAGAGCCCAGTTTCAACCTCTTCCCCCTTCAAACCTAGTTTAAAGGTTTGTAGGGAACTTCGGGTGCAAAATTATTGGTTTTGTGTTCTTTTGTTGCTCTGCCAATACACATATATCCTTTAATAAAGGGCTGTTATCTTTTTCCTTCTCCATATTTCCTCAATTGGAGCCTCTTAATTTCAGATTTACAATTGCTTGGAGGGAGGAGCTTGGTCTTCCTCATAACTCATCCTCCTTAGCAAACACTTCAGTCTCATTAAACTCAGACGACAATATAAATTGTTTTTGAAACTACAGTTATAATAATATTTTGTGAAACAGTATCAAAAGAACTTCAAGCACAGGCTGAATTCCTTCATTTACTCCTCAGCACACCATGAGGGTTTCCAGGACCACCCATCTTATTTTAATCTTCTAAAAAAAGATACTTGGGAAACATCAACTGTATCACCTTTGAGAAGGGCCACTAAGTTGGTCACAGGGCTGTAACATCTCTCTTGTGAAGACATTCTGAGAGAGTCAGGGTTCAGCCTGGAGACGAGAAGGCTCCAGCAAGACCTTAGAGCACCTTCCAGGACCTAAACAAGGCCTACAAGAAGTCTGGAGAGACACTTTACAAAGACATATAGTGACAGGAAAAGGGGGAATGGCTTCAAACTGAAAGAGAGTAGGGTAAGATGAGATATTATAGCAAGAAATTCTTTATTGTTAAGGTGATAAGGCACTGGCACAGGTTGCCCAGAGACACTGTGGCTGTTCCATCCCTGGAAGTATTCAAGGAGAGGATGGATGGGGCTTGGAGCAACCTGGTCTAGTGGAAGGTGTCCCTGCACATAGCAGGGGTGTTGGAACTAGATTATCCTTGAGGTCACAAACCATTCTATGATTCTATGACCCTGACAGTGTATTATGGGATTATATTTTTTAGTCAAAACTCTAAATTAAGGATAATTCTGAAACAATCTTGGTCATGGACATATAGAGGCACAGCTCAAGGCAAACTATACCATGGTAGTCAAAACACAAATAAAAGAAGGTGTGTAGATGAGAGCAACTGAAAAGATGAATGGCAACTGGAGAAAGAATGGTAAAAGGCAACTTCCCTCCCCCTGAGTTCCCCACCCTTTACTTCTGCTCTTCTGAAGGCATTCTCCAAGCAGCTGATTATAGGACTAATTTTAAAATCCAAACAGAAACAGAAACTACATCTTTTGTTCCAAGTAACATGACTTAAGTATCTTCATTTAAATATTCCATTTTAAGGGTTGAGCTATGTAAGTATTCTTCAGGTAATGGCCTGAAGAATAATTCCTTCTGAACCAGCACTAGCTACAATATTGCCTCCTATTAAGACCTGAAATTAAAGCAAAGGCTAATGCTGTCAATACACATCAAATATTTCCTAGTATGCCTGCAGGGGTCACTTGGCCTTGGGACCAACTGTCATACCTAACCTGTATGGTTGCTATCCATGACTTACACAGGTCCCAAAGCACATTCATTTCACGTGCCCTTCCTGCCTGAAAAGAACTACATCTCAGGCAGTATTCACAAAATAAAAATATTAATAATCAAAGCCTGGTACTTTTCTGGAATTAGAGAGTGGTATTGGTATAATATTAATAATCAACCTACTCCCCCCAAAACAACCTACAATTAATATATTACAAACTGAGTTTAACATATCAAAAGTTGGGAAATATACTGCTTCAAAAGAGTCACAGCCTATCAGTATAAAGGAAGAATATAAAACTATTTTATTGACCACTGTTCACCAGTATTTACAATAAAGTAAACAATATAAGTAACAATATAATAACAAGTCTGATAACATTCAAATTACTACAAAGTTAGTTTTCACCTAGTCTTCTGAAGACCAAGCGATCCCAAATACTAAAAAGAATGACCCTAGGGGTTTAAAGGGCTAGGTTTGGGTAAAGAAGATACATGCACATCAATAGTACAGAAGACTACAAAACATCTGTGAGTTTGTTTAGACATTCATTATGATCCTGTAATAACTATGGAAGTTCATCCATGTTTTATAAAAGCTTTTACCTAATATGGAGGAAGTAGTAGTATCAAATGCTCTCTTGTGATAAATGAAACAAGTTGCAGAAAGCTTTTATTTACTTGCTGTTGATGCAAAACATACTACTTCAAAAAAATATCAAATTCGAAACTTGTTAGAATGTATGCTTCTCACATTGCTAATAAATCAAACTTTAGGTTTTAATATTCTTATATATAAAAAAAGCAATGCAAACAATTATTGTGCTTCATCTTCTGGGCATGAATGCCAAGTTAGTCGTTCTTCATAAAAAGCGATTACGATCTGAGGACACTCCTTGTTAGCGTCTTTGGCCAGCACCAGATCTGCCTCATCAGAGCCTTTCCTGATGTAGAAGAGAGTGGGATTTAAGAAAAAGCAAAATCATTATTTCGAAATATTTAGCAGCTCTTGATAAGTCCTAAGTTTTAAAAGAATGTCAGCTAGAAATTGGTTTCCAGTATACCTTTCACTACAGCTACCAAGAATTTCCACGCTAATGGTAATGACAAGGTTTCATAGCTCCATCTTCCTTCCCTTCCCGTATTTTTTCTGTTGGAAATGAAAACGCTTTTCAAAGGGTACCAATTATATGGTTACATACTGTAGTATGTAATGAAACAAGTAAAACTTGGTTAATTTTGTCTTTCAAAGACTAATCAAAACTTCAAAGTGAGACTAAAAAATTAATAGCACCAGTCTTAAGAGGTGGTACTTACATCCAAATTATATTTACTGTTTATGCAAGTAACTTCCTGTATTCATATTGCTATTCTTGATGCTGTGTTGGGGTAACAAAACAAACTTTCCAGTCTGACATGCTTCAGATTCCATTTTTAAGTGTATGCTGCCTTTACAAGTCAGCTTTGTGCATACATAGTCATATCTATGCATGTTACCTACGACCAATTATGAAAAACTAATCAACTGCAATGGAACTAAACAAAAAAAAGATTCTTTTTGTCCTCCGAGTCTGATTTTGCCAATTATCACTATAGAAATTCAAACACTCATAATCTTTGTTTTGCAACTCTTCTAAGTTTCACACAAAATTTATAGCAAATTTGGAAAGGCAGAAGGGAGACAATCTCCTAAAGCACTAATCTGCAGCAGTCCAGGCATGTCACATGACAAATCATGTCTCTGGAGACCACTCAGTTTGACTCCATTCAGAAAATCACATCCTTCTCAAAGGCTGTGGAAAGCTATCCTTCTTATCCCATCACTTAAAGAGATCTGACCCCTAGCAAGTGTCAATTCAATGTCTTGATTTCTCAACTGCTAGAAAGTACTAATTTTATCCCATTTGTTCAAGAAATCCTTCTGTCAACACTATGTTACCTATCCTCCCAACAACACAAACTCCCCACGTCACTTTCCCCTCTTACTAGCCCACAATGGCAAGCCTCTCCATATTGTTTATTTTTCATCTCCACCTCTGCTTCCTCCACTACTTGCTTCCAGTTCCAGTTTGCTGCATGCAGAATAGTTGGCACTGTGGTTGGCTATCCAGCAGCTGGCTTCTGCTTATTGAAACATATAAAGCTGTATTCCTGCCTGCCATTTCCTCAGCAAGAGCATTGCCAAGATCCAGTTTTTCCATACAAATGCCAATTTTCCCTTATTTTATGAGAAATTACCTTTCAAATTTCTACTTCGGTAAAACTAAACTAACTGAAATGAAAGATATTTTGGGTTTTGAAGGAAGGGGGATTAAGTACTGAATGAATATAGAAGGCTTGCTTTTCTAAGAATACAAGACTAATTAGGAGACCACCAGCTTCTCTGTCTTACTCCTGCAATGAAGTTGTCTCATGAGCCTAAGTGCAACTGCTGCCCTCTTGTAACATGGATAAGAACTGTGGATGTAAGACTTACCATTTCATGAGGAACATAAGCTCTCCACTGCTATCCGTAGCCCCAATTATCCGCTCAGGAGCAAGACCCCTTGCGAACCCTCTTGGTTTATCAACCTATTGATTAAGTTAGAATACAGTTATCTAGTTTAAGATAAAATTCCATTTTGCTGCTAGATGCATAAATTTTTGTACATACATATATGTATGTGTGTACCAGAACAAAAAAATATAGTCTTAAAAAACCATCAAATCTATAATAATTACATACTATTGTCAGAATAGGACACTGATTTTTTCATGACCAAACTTCAGGCCAAGTCATTTAGGGTCGTAACAATGAAAGAATTTTACATCCATGTTTCCAGCATTTATTTATGAAAACACAATAGATGAAAAAAGTGTTCTAAAATCATCATAGCAGATAAACAAAAAAGCATGGTCAGTAAAAGTAACAAAAGCAGTAAAGCAAAAATGCATGCCTGGAAGTGGGAAAACCACATGCTTTTCAGCAAAATAACAGGTTTAGGTTGGCTTAAACCAACAGCAAAACTCTTGGGGAACACCTCCACTCTTCTTGGCTCACTGAGACCACACTGGTGACAAGAAATATCACAACTATTTCCTGTATTAGCTCCTTTAGAGGTTCGCAATACCCTTTTAGAGACAGTGGCCACTCCTGTACCAGATGAAGCCACACAACTGACTCCATACAGAAAGTAAAATACTCATTGTACTATTCATCAACTATTTCTTCTGATACTTTCCAATCCTTTTGACAGTAACCACATGTCTAAGACTTGTCTTCATACATGAAAATGGTTGCCAATACCAGCAGTTTCAAACTGCTAAACTGAAAGTTTACAGACGAAAATGTAAACTATTGGAACGCCTTACTACATGTGCATTATTTTGTACTTAGCAGCACTAAATGTGTCATGTTGTTCACTCATTTGTATTGCAGAAAAAATCCCCACTTTCAGAAAAGGTAGGTTTTCTGCAGCCACGCTTTCTACTCCCTCTCCACCATCACGTCTGGTCCTGATGTAAGTAACTGACTGGTCTTCACGTTTTGCCATCTTGCGACTCACCTATTCAAAATCATGCTAAATAAGAAAGCCAAACATCTTGGACCTTTTGCTCTAATACAAACTGATCACTTAACACCATTAATTAATAACTCTTAACCAGACTTATTTTCAATTATTCAGTAAGTGTCATAGGACAATGCAAGAACTTTTAATCATCATGTCACTCAATCATCTTTTACTTACCATTTGGACAGTCTCATTAACCACAAAGAATGTATATCCTTTTCAAACCACAGTTCCAGATACTGTGCAATTTTTACACTTTTAAATCAGTGTTCAGTCTCATTCTCAAAGTCACAATAGATTTTTTGGGGGATGGAGAGATAGGGAAGAAATGTAGGGGGAAAAAAGCTTAGCACATGAACATATACTTACAGAATCACGTTTTTTCTTTGATTTACTATCATCAGATTCACTATCTGACAAAGATTTTCTTTTGGCACCGTCTGTTTTTTCTTTACCAGCTTTCTGAGAGTTCAAAAAAGCTTCAATTAGCTCTGGACAATCTAAGTTCTCTTCAGGTTCCCATGTGTTGTCAGCACTGAAACATACACACATTTATGTAAAACTAATCACATGGTTCCTCTTAATTTAAGCAAGTGAATTTTGTCTCATTATATAAGGTAGGTTTCTTAAACTCTAAGGATGTTTATCTAACCCTAAGGATGTTTATTGTGCCATCTTTAGTAGCCTACTTGTACTGCAACTGATGACTGAAAGGAGTATGCTCAGTGTTGAAAAACAATGTTCTTAAAGAAAAGATATGAGTTAATAGAGCTGCTTATTGTGCTATGTTCTCAGTGGGATGATCAGAGTTAAAACAAGCAATTCCCACTCTATGAAAACCTATCTGCCCATTTACACTGACTTGCTTCTGTGGTTCCTTTAAAGACTGTCCATGCAAACAAACCATATGATACAAGCACTAAAGATGCACTCACAGGGAACAAGGTGTACACAACACTTGTTACAAACAGCTTAAATACATATATATATATATATAAGCTTCCAGATACCAGGAACACTCTCTGAAGTCTCTGAGAACAAAGCACAACTACACCTGGAACTATCTTCCTCCTTCCGTTGACTACAGGAGGGAACAAAGGTGGGCAGAGCTCGGCACTGCACGTTTCAGTGAGTGTGCATTTTGTTAACTAAAATTTTAACAAGTTCCTGCAACAACTAAGCACCTCATCAGAAGTACTCACACACACATACTGCCACAATGCTACTGCACAAGCAGAATATCAACTTTTAATAAATTTTTTTCCATTACTGTAACAAGTTCAAATAAGACCCTCAATTACAAAACACGTGTTCGCATTTATATATTAATCACCACACGCATTTCAGGTGCTAGAGAGCACAATGTTGCAATGCAATAACTTTGAGAGGTATGCAACAAAAATTAATCACTGCATATGTAACCACTTATGCTCAAATGTTGGGTGCATCGCCTTTTCTCAGCTCGTAAAGCAAGCTGCCATGAAGTGTCACTGGAAGGAAAGAAGAGGCACAACTGCATTCCTTCTTAAACAATCAATTTATCATGTAAGTCCTGGGCAAGACACTCAAAAAGGCAACCATGCCACAGAATTCCTTAGGCAAATTTGCTAATTTGAGAGCAGTTCAGGAAAATTAATAATAAGCAAACTATCTGCTTCAAATTCATTGCTTCAGAGCTGCCTGCAGTTTAAATCCCTGCATAATTTCTTACTCAGAAGTAACATTCATTCCACTACATATGTAACAACTGTCATTCTAGCTTACCTTGATAGATATTCACAGAACCTATATCAGAGAACAATCACTAAGGACCTGGTTAAAGTCCTCGACTATTTTATGTAGCACAAACACTGAGCTACATTATCTTCTATTTTATTTTCAGACTGGACTGTCCCACCTGAATATGCATTTACGGATCTCCTTCCCTCAAGGTTCTTTAAAGCGGATCCCCATCACCCAATCTCCTCTCTGTACAGTTATCTCAAATAAATGGTTCGTGTTTATCATTCTATCAGGGAAAAAAAAAAAAAGGAAATGCCTTACTCTGTAAATCCTTTCCACTTCAAGAAGTATTCCACCTTTCCATTTTGAACACGTCTGTCCAGGACCTTCTCTACAACAAATTCTTCAGACTCTGCCTCTTCAACTTTTTTACCTTTGCCATTCTGTTTCTTTCCCATTTTGTGCTACAAAAGAAATTCAGAATGGCATTATTAATTCTTTTGCTTTATACGGTTACTTCACTGGCCAAATCCAACTTTGCTCAGTAAACAGCAACGAATCATGTACTTATTAACACTAAAGCCAGAAGCTCAGACTCCTTTTACGTTAGTGCATGTGGTCAGGTAACCTGAGCAAGACATATTAATGTTTTGGGTTTTTTTTTCAGCTGCTTAATGAGATACCCAACACCAGTTTTTAAAAAGATTAAATTTTTTGTCCACATACTCAGTGACTATACTCCCCTTATAAATTTAATTCTCAGTCCTACATGCTCAAAAAAATACGAAGCTTCTAAAATTTAACTCTATGCCTGTGAAAAGGCAGAGGGCAAGGCAGAAATAAAGAAAAGAAATAAGAGAACTGTGAAAATGCATAAAATAGAAAAGAGATGGTACTCAAAAAAAGGTGGTTACTACCTGTTCCAAAAAACCAAGGAGAAACTGATGGCAGCGAAGTTTATAGCGTAGTGCTACAATAAGCAAAATACTCAACAATAACCCGTAACTATTGAACAGGACACATGCTAGGAGCATTCCATTACTGCAGTTTCTTCCACGCACCTATGTAAGTTACAGAGATGTGTCACAAAGGTGCATAAATTTAAGATTGCTATCCTTAAGTACAGCTGTTAACACATTAATGAAATGTTCCTAACTTAAAAAAACGTGTTTCAAGTCTACATTTGATGTTTTGAATAACATTAAGTTCTTAAAATAAATATTACATCCACATCATCCTCAAGGCATTCCCAGTTTAATAAGGCACAATCAAATCGTAGTAGAAGGACACATTTCAGAATTTCCTTGTTTGTAATCTCAAAAAGGTTGGAAGAAGCCTATCATGTTGTGTCACATTTCTGGAGGACTGGTAGACCAAAATCATTCTGCTTGCCATTTTGGACCACACCTTATAAGGAAATGGTTAAAGCGGCAGCCATAAACTTTTAAGCTCTTAAAACATATAGTCATGCAGCACCCTAAATCAAAAGTAGAGAACTAAAGCACTTTCTATACAACAGAAAGCAGACAAGCAAAAACCACAAAGCACCTTTATTTGCTTGATGGCCTGTCTCTATTCCTCTCTATAACTGATGTGGGTTAGTTTGAGAATATTGCAATTTGGGAATTTTCAATTTTTTAGACTTCATAGAATTTTATCTTGATGTGGTGAAAGGTAAAAAAAAAAAATATGTTAGACACAAAAAATTGTCTCATTTTTGTAAACTGAAGATTTGAAGATGATTATCTTGCCAAAGCCCTGTCTTCGTACCCTTTATTTTTCATAATTTATTTTTTTCCCTCCCTCCCTCTCTCTCCGAAATAGCTTTACTCTGGGTTAGCAGCCCATAAATTGAAGGTGCAAACGACAAAGAGGAGAAAAAGTTTCTAGTTTCTTATTGAAACAAGAAGTTTCTGTATAGATTATACCTTGCACGGCAATTGTTTTGATTTGGAAGCATAGAAGAGAGATTATCTAGAACAGAGTATGTATTTCCAATTAGATTTTAACTGCCTGCATATCCCAGGTGTATTTTGACCACAGCATTCATGTCTGAAAAGTGTCAACTTAAGCACACTGGCTTTTTTTTTGCCTCCACAGGAAAAAGAATGCAAGACTGAAATTGAGAGGAAATAAAACATGAAGATGTCCAATGCTTCTATGAAGGCAGCTTCTTTCAAGAAATGGAAATGTGAAAAAGAGAAAGGGGTAGAGATGAGGAAAAGAAACAAACAATAAAAGAAGCAGAGGAAAAAACAACAACACAGTAAAAGACAGACTCACTATACCATAGTAATAACATTATAATTACTGGTGATGAGGCAAGCAGGCTACAAGTGGGGAACATCTCCATCTGTATTCTCCGTTGGACTAAAATTCTTTGATTCAATGGAAGATTGTTTTCTGGTACTCTTTTCGGCTTCACTAATTCTTGTCACTTAAAGATCAATGTTTTGGATTTCTGTATCAAAGCAACAATTTTTTTTTTTACTTTCTAAGACTTAAGTATATTAAGTATCTTCCACAGAAGAAAATTAATGTCATGGGGGTCTGTATTTTTTTCTTGAAGTGCAATAAGAAATAACAAAATCAAGACTATGCTGCTTTTAGTATTAAAGATTTAATTGGGTCTTGTGCATCAGCACTAATCTCCAAAGTCTTGAACTTATTAAAATAATACTTGGTTGCAGAGCCTGCAGAAATACTGAACATGTTAAAAAAGCTGTACATTCTGAGATTATACATGCCCATGCAAATCTCAGCCCACAAGTGAATGTGATATCTGACTGAAGTTAAAGGGTACTAAATGTCCACTAGGCCCCTGAATCTCCCTTCTCTGTGGTTGCATGATATAAGCTGTAACTTAGGCACTTGACACTGAAGGTTTTTCTATGGCTTGTTTCCCTTTCTGCATTCAGAAGTCACATGTGACAGATGCAGAGCTATGGATAACCACTCTTTCTTTTAGGGGCAAAGTTAAAACACTGAAGTGACACTGTGGTGTACGGTTTTAACATACAAGAGGTAAGAAAATCAGAATTACAGCTCTAGGACTACCCTAATACATTTAGGTTTTGCATGCAAATACATAATGAAGCAGAATTAGTTACGGTTCCCATGGGAACCATAACTGATTTTCCTAACCTGTGCAGCAAAATTCTTAACAACATCGAAAGATTAAAAATTCTGCATTCATAGATTTTTTCCTCTCTCTGAGGCACCCTCCCCTCAGGCTGGCTAACTCTTCTCTTCCTCAAGTTAGGGATAAATGGTCAATCAATTACAAACAGAAAGTTCAGACTTTCACCTTGGTGAAATCTTTTAAAACAGCTTGTTATCATACAACATAGAGGAAGCACGCCATTGCACCTCTAAGCCAGGAGTTAATACAAGTTTTTAATATAACTCAAGCTGAGTGAACTAGTAATCATTTCAGTAAATTTAAGAACAGGTCTTTTGAGTTTGTTATAAAGCAGTTGTTCTGCTATCCAAATTTTGAATTGTGCACGTATATTTTTTGCTTACTTCCCCACCTCAAACTCAGATGTATCTCACACTATACTTTTTCACTTCTGTTTTTCACAAAACTATATATCATCATTAGTTGAATGGTAATCAGCAACCAACTGCCCTTAGAAGTCCATATTTTAATGTCAAGCAAAGCTTTACAGGACTTGAGATCCATGAATGCATCATTAAAATGGTCCAGGAAGGGTTGACATCTGATAATCTCTGCTCCTATGAAATTCAAAGAAACTGTTATTTGTTAAAAATCATTTCAAAAGGCATCTTAACTATGCCACATCATTTCTCAATAATATTACTTTTCATCTGTAAAAACTGCCTTTTCTCAGGCAATTAGTTTTCTCTAAATACACTGGGAGAAATTAAATCAGTACATGATTTCAATTTTATTTTTTACATGTATGATGAATTACATGGTGTGCTGAAAGGAAGTTAAAAAAATCCTTAGTATTTTCTACTGTAGGACAGATGAAATAGTACAGAGTCCTTTCACACTTTTTTTCCCAACACGTCTCTTTAGAAATGGCAGATTTATTAAAGCCAATGTCCTTTCTAGTAGCCTTACTTTCTGGATCTGAAATTTTGGTCAGAATAATGCTGGGGAGGGGAGATGTGGATGTATCTTTTAAATGGAGATGCCAAGTTATAGGTTTGAAGAAAAATATGTTGATTAAATCCTTATATACTTTAGGTGTGCATGAACTTACCAATGTAGTTTTATTGGAGGCCATTTTTATTGCAGACTTGCAGAGCTTTTACTAGAAAAATGCATGACAATTAAAAGGAAGTTTGCATAACTCAAAGAAAGGCATCCCAAGACAAACATGGTCCTTGTTCCAACCCCCATGTATTCACTGCATATAACATTTCTTATACGGATTAAATCCAGAACAAAAAGTAGGTTATTACTTTGTCTGGCATAACGCAGTAACGCACCATTACACTAGCCAGGATAAATCATACTGACAAGGTGGTAGATAGGGTTAAAAAAGGTTTTTCCCAAGGCCTTCAAAGGCTTAGAGATGTTTCTAGGGATAAGGGGGAGGACCATCAGGGATGCTTATTTCCTTAAACCCAACAGAACAGGATTTCAGATTCTAGCAGTTGGAGATATACCTCAGGTATATTAACTGCGAATCTGGTGGGGAACAGCTACATATCTGTGGTGTAATGAATCACCCACTACTCTTACATGGCAGCAAATGCTTATAAACAGCAAATATTTATCTTAATGCAACTATAACGTTGCCTTCTAATTCTCACGTTTGCAAGAGTTAAGGTCCTAGAGCAATATTAACTCAGCTAAACCATACATACTACATAATTAACCTACGCAAATGATGTTGAACGCAATTCATTCCCTTTTCCATGTCATTTCTCATACCGACCAGATCCTTAGGCATGTATTGTCCCCACCCCACTGCGAGCTATAGAACTGTTAGAATTCCCCATTTGCCTGGGCAAGACAAAAGAGAAAAGTCCTTCAAGGCCAGAATACCTCCCGGACTCAGTAATCCCGCCCAATCCTCCCCTTGACAGGGGAGGTGGATTTTGGCAGCCACATAGGCGGAGGGGTAGGCGAGGTGGGAGAAGGGCAGGGGGCAGGGCCCCAGCGCGAAGACTCTTGCCTTGTGTCCCCCTCTTGAAAGGCAGAAGAAAGGGGGAAACCCCCCCAACAAAACCAGTAACAAATCCTCCGTCAGAAAACAGGCAGCCCTGCGGAGGCCTGCTGGGGGCGGCTGCGCCTCGGGCC